AGGATTGTTGTATATGGGCAGTGTGCATCTTCTGACTTTCTAGATACTGAGAACTTATTTGCCAAAATGATTGTGCCAACGTCCATAAGCAGTGTATAACAGTTACCATTTGTTTTGTTGTTTTGTTTTGTTTTTGTTTTTAGAGATGGAGTCTCACTCTATTACCCAGGCTGGAGTGCAGTGGTGAGATCATAGCTCACTGTAGCCTCAAACTCCTGGGCTCAAGTCTCCTGAGTAGCTGGGACTACAGGCATATACCACCATGCCCGGCTTTTTTTTTTTTTTTCCATAAATACAAGGGTCTCACTATATTGCCCTGGCTGGTCCCAAACTCCTGGTCACAAGCAATCCTCCCACTTCAGCCTCCCAAAGAGCTACAATTACAGGCACAAGCCACTGTGCCTGGCACCATTTAGTTTTGTCTTCAATCTTTTCTCTGCTCCATTTTTTCGGTTCTCTTTCTGGAACTTCTGTTAGCTTGTTGTTGGAGTTCATGTATTTAGTCTTTATTTGCTATCTTTTCTATCCTGTTTTTTATTTCTTCATTTTTTTGTTTTACTTTCTGGGAAATTTCCTCTACTCCTAATCCTTTTACTGATATCTATTTCTCTTATCATTCTTCAAATTGTTATTATTTTCTGAATTTCCTTTTAAATAGCATTCTGCTATTGTTTCACTGATGTAATATGTGTTATATATAGTTTTAAAAATACATTAATGGGCATTTTTAGACATATATAAATTAGAGAGAAAGTGCAATAAATGAATTTATACATCACCTGACTTCAACAATGGTTAACATTTTGCCTATCTTATGCCAACTATTTTTGCCCTATACACACACATTTTTTTCTGGAGGCCTTAAGTTCCAAGTAGCATAGCTTATTACTCACTGATACTTCAGCAGGAACCTCTGGACTATAACAAGTTTAAACCACAGAATATATTAATTTTTATAACCACAATATCTTTATCAGAAAATACAAAAATAACCATTTTAAAGTCCTTCCTTTGTAAAACCCTATTTCTTGTTTAAATTTCTTTATTGTCTCAAAAAGGCCTTTTGACAGTTGGTTTGTGCAAATGAGTATCTAAGCTATGTCCACCCACTACAAATGGTTGCTTTTCCCCTTTCCCTTGGTGTGTGTTTGTTGAGCAATTTGAGCCTAGTGCAGTATATTTATTTTTGCTACCTTTTTTTAGAGTAGAAAAGCAGGTTTATTGAGTACATTGTAAGAGAGCGGCAGGTTCGCCTACTATCATTTTAACTCTTCTTTTGCTTTTTGCATTTCTTTTCTTCTGAGTTTTTCGTTTATTTTTGCATCTGTATTTAAGGTGAGAGGCTGTCTGATGATCATTCGCTTGCTGTTTATGATTAAGAGAGGGGCACTAAAAAAATCTGAAAGTTCTATGTGTGCAATGGGAACTGTAGATTAAGGGTAATTATTAAGACCTGGCTGTTTTGTGCAGGGTGGACCCCCCCTAAAGGCAGAATCTGTATGTTATCTCCCTTGGCTTGTCTACTTCCCAGATACCTTTCTAGGAGATTTTAAGCCTGGCTATGAGCACTCTAAACTGCTGTGTCCTGCCCAGGTCAGGGAGGGGTGGAGACTCTGGTCAACTCTCTCCTCAGTAGCCTCAGAATGCTCAGTGATGCCAACTTCCTGGGTTCTTATCTCCATCCTCACCCCTCGTTCCCTTGCCCTTCACTTCGGGATCTAGATTACAGTTTTGCTGTATTGTAACGTATATGAAACTCCAGCTGTTAATTTATTTTTATTTTTTATTTTTATTTTTTTGAGTCAAGGTCTCACTCTGTCGTCCAGGCTGGAGGGCAGTGGCATTATCATGGCTTACCGCAGCCTTGACCTCCTGGACTCAGGCGATCTTTCCGCCTCAGCCTCCTGAGTAGCTGGGATTACAGGCCCGAGCCACCATGTCTGGCTAATTTTTTTATTTTTGTAGAGATGGGAGTCCCACTCTGTTGTCCATGCTGGTCTTGAATTCCTGGGCTCAAGCAGTCCTCCTTCCTCAGCCTCCCAAAATGTAGGATTACAGGCACGCACCACCATGCATGGCCCAACTATTAATTTATTGAAGTTTCTGGAGGGAACAGAGGAAAATACACATATTCTACTTACCACATTAAACCTGAAGGAAACCTTGCTTTCTTTGTAAACAAATTCATTATGACTCTAAGACTTGTTTCTGAATACCTATACATATATGACTTGTTTTAGTTAATATTTGGTAAACCAAAAAACTAACTTTCAGAAATTAAAATAGAGAATGATTTGTCTGACCTTCAACTGAAGAAAATATGCTAGAATTTTACAAGCTGGAAATAATCTTGTTTTGGAGTCTTAAAGTCATTTAAGTCTTTGTGGAATGAACATTTCTCAAACTCTCTATATAACTTTTAAAACAGTAAGGGGGAATATTCAATAATAAGGAATGTCTGGGACATTTACTTTATGACTTTATGAGTAAATACATTAATTGACATAGAAACAAGTCTAATATTGAATAGTGAGGATGCATTTGTAAGAATACAATGTCTTTCTTTCTCATTCAGGGCTGTCACATGGTGACAGAAGAACTGCACTCCATAACCTTTGAAACCCAGATCTGCCTCTATGGCCTAACCATTGATTTGGAGGTGGGTGTTTCAAGGCACAGCTCTCGTTCAATAATAATATCTGCAGGAATTGGTCAGCATTTAGATGTAAGCTCGGTCTTCTTTCGGTTCTAGAACATTCCATAACTCATTATTTTTCCTTTAATTTAGAAAAGCAGTATGTCAAATACTCATTCAAAGTTAGCATACTATTTTGTCTAAATATAAATAACAAAATCTCATGGGTATTATAAATTCAATACAGTAAGTCCCCTACAATACAGTATCACCATACAGTAAGTCAGCCTTCAAGTTGTGAACTTTCAAAAATGAAAACATGTCTTCACATGTCCAATTGTGTAAGTTAGTTCATGTGTCTGGTGTACGTTGTCACATGTGAACACCTGCTACAAGTGATTGTGCTTTTGTGTACTTTACTGAACAGTACTGCATAGAGTTCAGTAGTACTGTATCTTTATTTCAAGCCCAGGATGTCTGGAAGTAGATGTAAAAGTGGCGGTGATATAGCTGGTACAGTATAACTGATTGTGTTAGTTGGGTACCTAGGGTAACTTTGTCGACCTAAAAACAAATGAGACTTATGAATGCACTCTTGGAACAGAACTTGTTTATATGTTGGGGACTGGCTGTACCTGTTAAATAATTTGTTGCCCAGGTTGCATGTTTGTTTGTTTTCTGGGATTTCCTAAGTCATAAATACTCAGTGGAAAGCCTAAAGAGAAATAAATATCCTTGAACCATGTCATATAGTGATATATTTTCAAAACGTTAACTTGTACATAAAAATCTCTCAGAAAGAGGGTTCTCTAATGCAAAGAGCAAAGACACATGAATGGAACACCGGGAATGTATCGTTTTGTTCCTCTTATAACAGTCACCATTGAATGCAAATAAAGAATCAAGAATCTCTGGAGATTAAACTGAACACGATTTTTGGCTATGAGGTCCTTGAAGGCAGGACACCAAGTCTTGATTGTCACTCCATTGTCTTGCCTACATAGCACCTAACACCTAACAGATACTCAATACTTTTAAATAAATGAATGAATAAGTGCATGGGCAGACAGATGCAATTTTACATACCCTGGATATGATCCTATATGTGGAGTGCATTGCTTTGGAATTCTGCCTTTGCTGTTTTATCTTAACAAATGCAAACATGTTTGTAAAATCTTTCATAGTCTCCTTCCTCGTCTCCTTACCCTAAATCTCTGTTTCCGTGAGCTCTGAAATTCCCCAGCTGAGTGTTTTACTGTCTACGGGAATCTTATGTCTGCTATTGGAAAGTGACCAGTGTAAGTTGATGTTTCCCTGGCTAGACTGTAAAAGCCTATTTATTCCATAAAGGAGATAATCTGCAACTGTAGCCCAGGTGGTTCCATCTCCCCTCATTCATCTTTCTACCTTTTACAATAAATCTCCCACTTCCAGAACTGACAGTCACTAGGTATCAGCTCATAATTAGAAGATACTGATTCATTATATAGATAGATTTTTTTTTTTTTTTTGAGTTGGAGTCTCACTCTGTCGCCCAGGCTGGAGTACAGAGGCATGTTCACGGCTACCTCAGCCTTGACCTCCCAGGCTCAGGCAATCCTTCCGCCTCAGCCTTCCAAGTAGCTGAAACTACTGATGCATGCTACCAGTCTCGGCTATTTTTTAAATTTAGTGTAGAAATGAGATCTTACCAAGTTGCCCAGGCTGGTCTCAAACCCCTGGGCTCAGGCAATCCTCTCCCCTCTGCCTCCAAAAGTGCTAGGATTACAAGCATGAACCACCATGACTAGCTTCATTTTATAGATAAATTTAAAATTAGATTCTTTAATGTAAATTTCAAAGAGGCTCGTTGCCAATTCAGTAGAATCTCTCATCAGTTGCACTTGAGGCAGCATGGGATGTCAGAAGTATAATATCCTTGCAATGTTGGGAAGGTATTGGGAAGCTGCCCAACTGAGCTCTCAGAAAGGACTCCTGCTTTCTCCTCCCTGCACCCTTACTCGTGTACACCCTTACTCCAGAAAGTCCTGCAACCTTCACACATGTTCTAGTGACCAGGGACGCGTGGAGAGCAGAATTGGAGGGAGGGGTGGGGCTGACTTGAGATGAACTTTTAGGAGAGGGTTGAGTATAAGATCAGAGTGAGGTGGGATGACCTGTCATAACACGTTGTTTGTTTGTTTGTTTTTTCAAATCAGACCAGCTCGTTACCTGTGGTGATGATTTCCAATGTCAGTCAGTTACCTAATGCTTGGGCGTCCATCATTTGGTACAACGTGTCAACCAATGATTCCCAGGTAGAGACTCTTCTTATCTCTCGTTCTTTAATTCAATTTGATTTTATTCTGCATCCACAACAAATGTGTGTGTGTGGTGGGGGTTGCTTTATTTTTGGTTTTATTATTCCTTTCACGTCATATTTAAAGTAACATGTTCTTGGATTCTGAGAGAGTTCCAACTAGCAAAAGTGACAAAGAGGAGTTTGTCATGTCTGAGAATCTGGTCAGCTCCCAGCTGTGTGTATCCTAGAGAGTTCTAGGGCCACCCTATGGCTTTGTTAACTAAGCTGAGGGTTGCAGGGCACGGTGGCTCATACCTAAGATCCCAGCACTTTGGGAGGTCGAGGCTTGAGAATCCCTTGAGCCCACGAGTTCAAGACCAGCCTGGGCAACAAAGCAAGGCAGAGGTGGAAGGATCACCTGAGCCCAGGAGGTCGAGGCTATATTGAGCCGTGATCATGCCACTGCACTCCAGCCTGGGCAACAAAGTGAGACCCTGACTCAAAAAAAAAAAAATCAATAAATAAACATGCCAACTAAGCTATGGAGAAACTTCTTGCCACAAAAATTGATATCTGACCTCTTCTACTACTTCCTGTCCCACCTGGTCCACACAGGCTCTTCTACAAACGTAAAGAATTGGTTTCCAAATAAGCAACTAAAATAATCATCCATCTCATCTAATTATACTCTGACAGCACGTGTTTTTGAGTTGATTACAGTTTGCATCCATCCTGGGCTTAGGCTGGGTTTCAGTGCCATCTGGTGGTTATTTACGACACAGACCCAAAATTGGCCTCAAGTCACCGACAACCAGAGGATAGATGCTCTTGGTAAAACAGCCAGGGCAGGGAGTGGTGAAGATGAGTCCGCGCTTCCCAGCCCCGCCCCCTTGCAAAACCAGCGTGTTGTCCTGGAGACCGCCAAGGTCTAGAGAAAATAGGTCAAATATAAATAACAACATTTCTTCTTAATTCAAGGCAAATGTTCCTTCCATGGGAAAGCATCCTCTTATTTCAGGTCCCAGCAGCAGGAACAAAGCCGTACTGAGTCAGCTGTAAGCAAAGCATCCTTTCCCTTGAGTCCAGCGTTCCAGTGACTCAGCCTTAATCCTTCTTGTCCTCAGATGCCCGGGCACCTGGGACAGATTAACTCAGAGAGGATGGCTGCGTGGAGTGCCCCGAAGAGACGAGAGCACAGCTTACTAGGGAGGTCACCTGGTCTTTAAGGCCAAGAACAGCCAAAGCCTGAGATTAAACACCAGTCCCCATCCGGAGCTGCCCTGTTTAGCTTTTCTCCAACTCCAGGGCACGGGAGTGGGGGCGTGGGCGGGGAGGGATGCCTCTGTCCTCCAGCCTCAAAGAGCCACACTTAGCTTTCTGTAGCAGCCTTCCTCTGTGGAAAGCCACAGAGTTGCCACACTAATCCTCCAGACTTACTTGGCTACGGGATGAGAACCTGGAGATCGAGATCATATCCAGCTCCTAAAATGCAGACTCAGCCTCATCACAGAACCAGACTGAACAACGAGCCCTGGTTTCTCTTCTTAATCCAATCCTGCTTCAAAACCTCAGCTCTTGGACCTTGATAGTATTCTATGCTCTCTGGTGGTTTTCAGGCACAATTCTCAAGTTCAAAGAAAGCCACCTCCCTAGAAAGTATTTCTCTTCATTCTTCCTGTTCCAGTCTGTCCTCTTTTATTCCCATCTTCTGAGATCTCTTCAATTGGTTATGTTTCTCCATTGATCTAAGCCTAATTTAGCTTGTGTTCACCCATGGCTTTCTCCAGGGACTGCACTGGATTTCTGAATTCTTCCTCTCCTCTTCTTAGAACACTTTTCTTGACTTTTTCTGTTTTTGTTTGTCTGTTTGTTTGTTGACGTTTTATGTCGCTGTCTCACTCTGTCATGCCAGAATGCAGCATCACGATCGCAGCCTCGCCTCCTGGGCTCAGACGATCTTCCCACCTCAGCTCCCACCCCCTCTGTAGCTGGAACTACAGGCACAAGTCACCATGCTGGGCTCATCTTTTTTATTTTTTGTAGCGACGAGGTCTTGTTATGTTGCCCAGACTGGTCTCAAATCCCTGACCTCAGGCAGTCCTCTCACCACCTCCCAAAGTGCTAGGATTACAGGCGTGAGCCACCACACTCAGCAAAATCAGTCTTAAAAAGCACAAAAGAGTTGAGAACTCTATTCTGTCTTACCAACATAGTTTGGCCTGAAAGGTTTAAGCCAGAAATCCTTCTGTTGAATCACAGTGTTCTCAGTGTAACTAATGAATATACTCGTCATCATAACTCTCTTTCAGAACTTGGTTTTTTTCAATAACCCTCCATCTGCCACACTGAGCCAACTCCTGGAAGTGCTGAGCTGGCAGTTCTCATCATACGTTGGCCGCGGCCTTAATTCGGACCAACTCAACATGCTGGCAGAGAAGCTCACAGGTGGGTGCTGGTAGACAAAAAGGCTTTGCCTCTGCTTTCAGTACTCAAGTGTTCAAAAGAACCGGGATAATATTGCCCACTAATGGTAATAATGATCATCACCACTTACTGAGCGACTGCTCTGTTGCCAGGCACAAGGCTAAGTGCTTGATCACCTTTATTCCCTCAAAAGCCCCTCACAGCTGACATTATTCTACCCATTTGATAGATGAGGAAACTGGAGTGCAGAAGTTAAGTGACTTGCCATGACTGCATAGCTGCTACATAGGGCCGATCCACACTCCAGTCCTCAGGGTGTTCCTAGGTCATCTCCTCCTAATGTGACGGGGTGCCTTCGTGGGGCCTTGACCTTGTATTCAATATCTCAACTGACATTGACTGACTGGAAAATGACTGATTTAATTTAATTCTGCATATTAAGAAAGTTTCAGCTTTGAGATTTCTAAAGTTTGCCAGATAGAGTCACTGGTGCTATATGGTCCAGGTATTGTCTAAGCTTTTTCTACAAGAATTTTAAGAGATCTTTGGACTTTGACAAGTTGGGAGTGAACAGCAAAAAAGAGTTAAAATTGAATCTATGTGGGGGTGGACCAAAAACAACCAGAATTATCTTTTGGAGGGCGGGCCCCTGGTAGTGCAGGCTTCCCCCGCTAGGTAAGCGTTCTAGGAACCCATTGGCATCGGTGTACCACCTAATGTCATTGTGAGAGGCTGTGTTCATCTTCAGTGAATTTGGATTTTGGAGATTCTTTCAGTGTCTTTGCCCATTTCATGATGGGTGATTTACAAGCACACCTGCCCATACCACACTGAGCGTTCAGCAGTTTTTGACCCCAAACAGCACGAACTCCATACCCCACCTCCCTACTCACTTGATCTCGCCCCAAGTGACTTTTATTTTTGTTTCCCTGGATTAAAAAAAAAGTCCTCAAAGGGAAACATTTTGTTGATGTGGATAAAGTGAAACAAAAAAATGACGGAAGCACTAAACAGCATCAAAATCAACATGTTCAGAAACTTTTGAGCAGTAGAAAAAGCATCTTGATAGGTGCATTGCATCAAACGGAGAGTACTTTGAAGGTGATTGACGTTAAACATGTAAGAATAAATACACAATTTTTTATTAAAAAATTCCAGGTGTTTTTGGGTCCCGCCTCGTATATGCATTTCTAAGTTAAAATAGGGCCAAAGATGCATTTGCACAGCAGCAGTAGAATCATGTGTGACTGAAGCTTGACTCACATAGGAGGCTGGGTGCTGGCTATTTGAACGAATTGTGGGATCAGCAGGTATTGAAAAAAATCCGGACTCTGGGAAATATTACAACATGTACTTAATGTAAATATTAACATTTTTTTATCCTTATCTAATTTACAAGCAGCACTAGTAGACATCCAATAAATATTTGTTAATGAGTGAATGAAGCTTTTAAACATGTAGTACAGATAACAACCCTATCCTTTCAAATCTTTATCTGATGATAGTTATGAGTAAAATTTCCTTAAAAATTTAAATAGAAACTCTTGCACCTACCTTTTCACTACTTGGGATCAAAACAGCCAATGGCTACTCACTGCCTCTTAGATTTCCAGTCCATTCTTTTGATCTTAATAGGCAAGATGCTTGGTAATCTGACTACACTTAACTTGGACACTTTCATTTTATAATGTTTGTTCACCCACAGGCTTCTCTTACTGACTCCTATATGGGCCATGCGATGGTCCACCATGCCTCGTCCTACATGATTCTTGCTCCTTGGGGTAGCCTCCTTCCTCTTCTCCAACGATGTATATCTTAATCCTCCAGATCCTAGATACCCACCTGCTTCCTAAAGCTATTTCTAGCTCCTCCTCCAAAAAACTTCTTTCCTAGATAATACAGAAAGTCCCCAACATACGAATGAGTTCCATCCTGAGAATGTCTATGGAAGTACAATTTGTTTAAAGTTCAACAAATTTAGCCAAGGTACTCAACTAACATGATTGACTGTATAGTAATGTATGTATTTAACAGGCTATATTGACACCTGGTGGAGAGAAATAATATTTAGAAAGCACAAATGGCATCATTAAAGTTTATAACTTGAAGGCTCATATGTAGGGGACTTACTGTACATTTCCTAGGAGCAAGGATAATTATCTTACAACTGCACCCAGCACGTGGTGCACTGCCAACCATAGCAGGTGCTTAAGAAATGCTGGAAAGGGAGGGGGGAAAGTCTAATGAAGCACAAAATTGAAGACTCTTATTGCTGGGTTTTTAAAAATCTCATTATTTTCTTTCATTTTAGTCCAATCTAGCTACAGTGATGGTCACCTCACCTGGGCCAAGTTCTGCAAGGTACAAACAGGGACGGGGGAAAGCGTCATTCAGATATAGATATAGATACTTATAAAATGTTCCTTTCTAGGTGTCCACATCACTACCTTGAGTGTTGAGGATTCCCTGGATAGGGTTATTCTTAAACTGCTGTCCAGTTTAAAGAAAATATTTCAAACTAGGTGTGGTAGTTCATACCTGTAATCCCAGTATTCTGGGAGACCGAGGTGGGAGGATCACTTGAGGACAGAAGTTTGAAACCAGCCTGGGCAACATAGAAAAACTCTGTCTCTACCAAAATTAAAAAAGAAAATAGTGGGCATGGTGCTGCATGCCTGTAGTCTCAGTTACTTGGAAGGCTAAGGTGGGAGGATGGCTTAAGCCCAAGACTTTTAGGCTACAGTGAGCTATAATCATGCCACTGTACTCCAGCCTGGGCAACAGAGCAAAACCTTGTCTCAAGAGAGAAAAAAAAAAAGAGAGAGAGAGAGAGAGAGAGAGAGAAGAAAATATTTCATTGAAAATGAAACTTGAATTATTATATAACATTACTACTTGAATAACCATTGTCTTAATGTGCTTGTGCTTGTTTATTCCTACAGGAACACTTACCTGGTAAACCATTTACTTTTTGGACATGGCTGGAAGCAATATTGGATCTAATTAAGAAACACATTCTTCCACTTTGGATTGATGGGTAAGTTACAGGCTAGATTTTCCATATGAGTTAATTAGGTTCTTTTTTTCCTGTTATTGTTTTTCTCTCTTTTTCTTTTAAGCATGTTTAGTGCTATAGGAGGGAAAATAGTTGTAGTTTCTTACATTCTTCATTGAGTATTGATATATTCATGAATCTACATATGAATACTGGCTTTTAATTATACTCAAAACAAACTCTAGGTCTGTTCTTTGTGGATACAATAAACACAATAATGCAATGATTGATAGTGCAGTAATGATCAGATAAAACTCTGCATTGTTCTATTTTAGGTATGTCATGGGCTTTGTGAGCAAAGAGAAGGAACGGCTCTTGCTGAAGGATAAGATGCCTGGAACCTTTTTATTGAGATTCAGTGAAAGTCATCTCGGAGGAATAACTTTCACCTGGGTGGACCATTCTGAAAATGGTATGCACGCACTGCTGCCTATTGGCATGAATTCAATTTGCTTAAATTAGGTTATTGGGATTTCAGTCTTCAGAAGCGTGTGGCATGTTGATCTGTTTGTCATGTGCTGGGTTTGAATATCAGTTGTTGCAATGGTCCCAGAACAGGGTGCCCATGAATTCTGAAAATCTGTGTGGCCACCCTCTCTCACGTGCATGATCTGTGCTGTCCAGGCCACCGAAGAAGGTCTGACACTGAAGTGCCATAAAGTGACAAGTCACGTCAGTGACATGAAGATAATGTGGGCAGGAAATATGGTCACAAAGAATGCCGGCAGGAGCCTTGACATCCCCCCAATTTCTATGTCTCCAGGGGAAGTGAGATTCCACTCTGTAGAGCCCTACAACAAAGGCCGGTTGTCCGCTCTGCCGTTCGCTGACATCCTCCGAGACTACAAAGTTATTATGGCTGAAAACGTGCCTGAAAACCCTCTGAAGTACCTGTATCCTGACATTCCCAAAGACAAAGCCTTCGGTAAACACTACAGCTCCCAGCCATGTGAAGGTCAGGTTCTTTCCATTTATATTTGGCTTAAGATTTGGGGAAATAACCTCATACCAGGGCAAAGTACACGAAGTTCCCCTTTTTGTTTACTTTGATCTTTGTAAGATCTAAGGGGCCCAGGGAAGCCAAAGCCTTACAAATGGAGTGGGGTGGCAGCCATTCCTAAAAAGGGGCCACTGGGCTGTCCCACTTGAGAGAGTAATTGTCAGCAGCTGCAGCTAAACTCTGCCAAAGCCATGGGAACCTCATGTGCCTACTGACAAAGCTCCAGTTTTTTCCTTCATAAAACAGTAGTGGTGCTGACTTCACTCCTATAACTGGGGAAAAGAAAAAGAAAGAGTAGGTTATGGCTAGAAGCTTTTAAAAAGTAAGGCAGACCAGGTGCTGTGGCTCAAGCCTATAATCTCAGCGCTTTGGGAGGTTGAGGCGAGAGGATTGCCTGAGACCAGGGGTTCAAGACCAGCCTGGGCAACTTGGTGAGAACTTGTCTCTATAAGAAATCAAAAAATTAGCTGGGCATGGTGGCTCGCACCTGTAGTTCCAGCTACCTGGAAGGCTGAGGTGGAAGACCTGAGTCCAGCAGGTCGAGGCTGCGGTGGCCATGAGTGTGCCTCTGCACTCCAGCCTGGGCAACAGAGAGAGACTCCGATTCAAAAAATAAAATAAAAATAAAAGTAAGGCAAGCCTGTATTTTGCAAAGCAACTCCAGGTTGACAAGTTTTATCTTTTTAACCACACTGTAGTATTACAGCTCCAAGAGTATTTGTTCATTTGCTTCCTCCTCCCACCCCTGCCCTCAGCCTACCTTTCTTCGTTGTATCCTAAGGGCCTAGAATAGTACCTGACTAAAATAGACATTCAGTTAATATTTGCTGAGTACATTAAAGAACATTTTTAAGGGTGGTCACGGTGGCTCACGCCTGTAATTCCAGCACTTGGGAAGGCTGAGGCAAGAGGATTGTTTGAGCCCAGGAGTTAAATTCCAGCCTGGGCAACATAGCAAGACCTTGTCTCCACAAAAAATCAGCCAGGCATGGTGGCACATGCCTGTAGTCCTAGCGATTAATACTTGGGAGGCTAGCCAGGCTCGGTGGCTCAGCCTGTAATCCCGCGCCTTTGGGAGGCTGAGGTGAGTGGATTGCTGAGCCCACAGGTTTGAGACCCGCCTGGGCAACTTGGCGAGACCTCACCTCTACAATAAATCAAAAATTAGCCGGGCATGGTAGCGCGCGCCTGTAGTTCCAGCTACTCGGAAGGCTGAGGTGGAAGGATCGCCGGAGCCCAGCAAGTCGAGGCTGCGGTGGCCGGGAGTGGCCACTGCACTCCAGTCTGGGTGACAGTGAGACTCCAACTCAAAAAAAAAAAAAAAAAAAAAACTTGGGAGGCTGAGTTTGGAAGGATTCTTGAGACTTGGAGTTTAGGCAACACAGCAAGACCTCACTCTAAAAAAAATTAGCTGGGCATAGTGACACGTTCCTGTAGTCCCAGCTATGCAGGAGGCTGAGGTGGAAAGATTGCCTGAGTCCAGGAGTTCGGAGCTGTGGTGAGCTGTGATTGTACCACTGCACTCCAGCCTGGGCAACAGAGTGAGACCCCAACTCAAAAAAAGAAAATGTATGAAATTGCTATATAATTTTAAGGTAAGCTCACCATTCTGTTTATTCAACAAAAGTATATACAATTCATACAAATCTTCATTTATGGTAACTAAATCCCAGGGCACCATCTTGTAGAATACCCTAGAGTTGGCATTTACAGATGGGGACTTGCCACCATCCGACTTCACCCCCTCTGAAACAAAAGAAAATAAAAATTGAGACTTTTAAGTGACTTTCTACATCTGATTGAATGAAATAACAAATGTCTATGCAACAAATTTTAGTTGGAAAACTGGATCAAACAGTAGTTCAACATGATATACCAGAGCAACTTGAGGAAGTTTTCCAAGGTGAAGTTTGTACATGGCTGTTACCATAGTACGATGATGTCTATGCTTCAAAGAAGCTTGTAATATAAGATTCTGATTGGTGTCAGTTTTAATGAAAATAACTGTGTTACTATATGAGAATAAATAACCCAGAATTTACTTATAAAATATCGTGTATTACTCTCACATGTTTAAACTTCAATCACCCTCAAAGTCCTCTCCATTTGATACATCTATTGAGACACTTTTGCCACTGCTCAAAACAGGTTTTGAATTTGTTGATTTTGATGCCTTTTAGTACTTCTGCCATTTCTTGTTTCACCTCTTCCACAATGGCAAAACTTCCCTTTGAGGACCTATTTCATCCAGGGAAACAAAAAAAAGTCACTCGGGGCTAGTTCGGCTAAATAGGGAGGGTGGGGCATGGGGGGACTTATGCCATTTTTTGGTCAAAAACTGCTGAACACTCAGCACAGTGTGGGCAAGTATGTTGTCATGTCACCTGTTTGCCACAGCTTGGGACGTTTCTTCCACAAATCTTGACGCAACCGTCTCAAACCTTGCGATAAAAACTTTGACTCTTTGGAATCATGTTTTGTGGAATATATGTGAGAATAAATACATCATTTTTAATAATCAAATACAATTTTTTGATCCCCCCTCATATATTTTCCAACACATGACTAAATCCGTCCTTGAAATAAAACTTAAATGCAATGAAGAAAAGTAAAATATAGATTCTCAATTTCTTAATTTTTCCCACACATTTTAGAGGCATTAATATGTAAAGTCAGACCAGGCCGCCAAGAGAACTGTTTTTCTTTTCTTGAACATTTGGTGCTCATCTAAAAGACTGTTTACCGCCGGGCTTGGTGGCTCAGCCTGTAATCCCGTGCCTTTGGGAGGCTGAGGTGAGTGGATTGCCTGAGCCCGCGGGTTCGAGACCCACCTGGGCAGCGAGACCTCATCTCTACAATAAATAAAAAAATCAGCTGGGCGTGGTAGCGCACGCCTGTAATTCCGGCTACTTGGAAGGCTGAGGCGGAAGGATCACCAGAGCCCAGCAGGTCGAGGCTGCGGTGGCTGGGAGCGGCCACTGCACTCCAGTCTGGGCGACAGAGTGAGACTCCAACTCCAAAAAAAAAAAAAAAAAGACTGTTTACCGTATTCAACTAAACATTTCTGTGAGTCATAAAGCAACTGTATTATCTTTCTTAGCATTGCTGATATTTTCCTAGACTTATGTGTCCAAATTGATCAGTTACATTGACAACATTTTTTCCTGACATTGTACCTTTCATTTCCAGTTTCAAGACCAACAGAAAGGGGAGATAAAGGTTATGTTCCTTCAGTTTTCATCCCCATCTCAACAATGTGAGTAATCTTAGTCACATGTAAAATATTTGTTAATTAATTTACTTTTATTTTTTAAAAGCATTCCACTGGGCATGATAGCTCCTGCCTGTAATCCCAGCTACTTGTGAGACTGAGGTGGGAGAATCACTTGAGCCCAAGAGATAACCCTGGGCAGCATAGCAAGGCCCTGTCTCTAAAACATTTCCCATTATCTCTCTAAGCCGAAGTGATTCAATGGAGCCACACTCTCCTTCTGACCTTCTTCCCATGTCTCCAAGTGTCTATGCGGTGCTAAGAGAAAACCTGAGTCCCACAACGATTGAAACTGCGGTAGGTTCCCATTCTTTTCTGTTGCTTGTCAAGGGTACTTCCAATGAAGCCATGGTGGTGTGTGAATCTGAGGGGCAGGGAGAAAACACATTGATTGGAACAAATTCCTGAGCAGAACCTACTAGTACCTATAGAGTCCTGTGTGGTGCTGATGCCACGGGCATTGAAAGTAGACACCTTTACTGACTTCTGCTGCTTCAAGTTCTCTCCATTAAAAACCACCAGAGGGCAAAATCTCCCCAGTCCTCACAGCTTCTACTCCCATCATGGGCCCTGTCACTCCCCACCATTCTTTCCTCTTTAGCAAACAACTTTTATAAGCTTCATTTAGTATTTATTGTAACACTTCAAGCACCACAAATTCCATTTTTCTTGATTGTTAATTGCATTTCTAGAACCTAGAGGCTCTCCCAATAGTATATAAATGGTAGCATAATCATGCTTTTGTTTGTGAAAACTTGGTTATAATCTTTAAGGCAGTTATGTTACTTAGGATACATTCTATATTTGTTCTTACCCCCAATATGTACCGTCAAGGTGTTCAAGCCCCTAGTTCACATGAAAGTGAGCATATATCAGAATAGAGTCTTAGAGGGACCTTAAGCCCCAAAAGATGTGTATCTGGCTATCAATTAAGTGGTTTGTCGTCCTTCTCTTGAAGATTTCCAGGGATGGCAAATTCACACTCACCTTTGATAGCTAATTCCAATGTTAGTTGCCCTTAAATCATGAGTTATGTATGTCTAATTGAACTTTTGCTACATTTTGCACCATCTCCTTGTTACATTTTTGGTGGGATGAATGGGCCTTCTTCTAAAAAACAGTTTTCTGCCTGCTTGAGAAGTGCGTTTTATTTTAGATTGATCAATCTCAATTACTTTTGTACATATTTGGTAGTTAATTGGTAGAAAGATTGTGGAGAACTAGTAGACAAGAGGATGCTTATCTACCCAAGAAATAGTGATTTATTTGCAAAACAGTCTTTTCCTCAAAGATCATTTTCAATTTCAGATGAAGTCTCCATATTCTGCTGAATAATAGGATAAACTCTGACACCCCAAAGAAGGACGCAAATGAAAACGTTTAAAGACTGTTCTTTGCCAAGGACCACATCTTCTTTCTTCAGCTCTGTAAATATCGGTTTCTAGGAAATGGATGACATCTGAGGCTTTCTCCTTCCTGCATGGCACCCGCACAAGTGGGAGTGTTGTGACTGAAATGCTAAAACCAAGTTTCAGATAAATTTACAAGATAAGACAAACTAAGAAACCAGTGTTAATAACAGTATTAACAGAGGACTCATTGAAGTGTGTTTGTTTTCTTTCTGATTTTGCTTCTCTGGTGTTATTATGATTTTGGGTCTAGAAGGTGTACGTGTTAACATTTGGGTGGGGCAAGAATAATAAAGTCACATCTACACCTCAGCACGGAGATCTGAGGGCTTGAACCAACCAGGACATGAGTCCAGGAGTTCGAGACAAACCTAAGCAACATAGTGAGACTTCATCCTACCAAAAAAAAAATTGTTTTAAAGCTGGGCATGATGGTGTGTACCTGTTGTCCCAGCTACTTGGGGAGGCTGAGATGGAAAGACCACGTGAGCCCAGGAGCTCCAAGCTGTGGTGAACTGTGATGCTATACTCCAGCCTGGGTGACAGAATGAGACCCTGACTCAAAAAAAGAAGAAAAAAATTACTAGCAAGTGCTCTTAAATTATTGGATATAGATACCCAAAAAAGGATGCAGAAGCTTTTCACTCCCTGGAATTTAGCAAAAGCAGGATAGACTCTCTCCTATTTAGCAGAAGTTTTAAAAGTAAGCCAGTCAGTGTGGTAAGTTCCTGCAAGTAAGAATGATCACAGTAGATTCAAGAGGGAAGTCATTACAGCAACAGCAGCAATGTGCAGGGCATCCAGGGTTCAATTATGAAGTCTCTTGATTGCTATGTCAACATTATCCCAATTATGGGGTTCCCAGCTGCTGTTACCATGGCCAGGGACAATCTCTTATTAAGGGGAGGGATCTGAAATCATTCCTGGTGGCATGTTGGGCAAATTGCACTGATATTACCGGCATTGCAAGCAGACACATGGGCAAAGTTTCATGGAATGAGGAATAAGAGGAGAATAACATCTCAGGTCTTGAGCAACTGATTTCATCCATGGGTTGCACATTTTTCATCTCTAGAAGAGGATGAACTAAGTGGGCTCTGTGATCCTTTCCAGCTCCAGTGATCCCTCTGGTCCCATGACTCCAAACTGAGACTGGGGAAAGAAGTCTAGGATGAGAAGTTCCTCCCTCAGTTTTCTTGGCTGAAGAAGAAAGGCTGGTGGTTTAACAGATAGTAATGCATGTTTTTGAGCGGCAAGTCTATTGTGGCCCTTGACTCACCCAGCCTGGGTACCTGGTGGTGCCGTTGCCCAGCCTTTGCCCTTAGTAATAGTGTGGAATCCCCAGTACACAAGACCTCTGACGAGTTCTCTCTGTCTGCTGAGGCCTAGGAATGCCAGGTGAGGACGTTATGCTCCTGAGGTATCTGCCCTGACCAGCTACAGAAAAATCCCAAAGCCAGTTTCCAAGGTGAGCTCTGACTGCATAGTCAGAGACGACAGGCCCTTCTGAAGGTTCCTAACTCCTTCCGCCTGTCTCCTGTCCTCTAGGCAAACTGAACAGGCAGAAGCTAATGTTTGATGGAAAAGAGTTCAAGGAATAAAAGTTTTTAGTATAACCTGCCTTTTGCCTAGAGAGATTCTGTTTCATCAGTCTTGTCCTTGTTACCTGCCCACATGTGCCCAAGTGTTCGCCTGGAGCAAACTCTCCATCTGCTCTAAGGCTGGTTCCCTTCCTCCTCTGCAGGCTGCTGAGCACCCTCAGGGTGGACATGTCTGTTTGATGAGATGGGTCTATCTGGAGGTGCATTCTCCCAGGCTCTACTGCCCTCCATAAACCCAGTTTTCTAAAATTGACCTGAGATATATATCAATTGGCAGCAGACTAAAAAAAATAATAACTTAAACCTGGGCATGACAATTACAATTTTATCTTTAAAAAAGTAATTTCCAGGCCAGGTGCTCATGTCTGTAATCCCAGCACTTTGGGAGGCCAAGGTGGGAAGACTGCTTGAGCCCAGGAGTTCAAAACCAGCCTGAGCAGCATAGTGAGATCTCATCTCAAAAAAATATTAAAGCTGGACATGATGCTATGCACCTGTAATCCCAGCTACTTGGGAGGCTGAGGTGGGAGGATCACTTGAGCCCAGCAGGTTGAGACTGCAGTGAGCTGTGATGGTCACTGCAGTCCAGCCTGGGTGACAGAGTGAGACCCTGACTCAAAAAATAAATAAATTACCAGCAAGTTCGCTTAAATACCAAAAAATAGGTTGCAGAAGTTTTCACTCCCTGAAATTTAGCAAAAGTAGGATGGACTCTCTTCTATTTAGCAGAAGGTATAAATGTGTGCCAACATAGAGTTTGGTAGCAGAATGCCAAGGTTTCATAAGCCATCACAGCCAGCATTGTGATTTGGGGGTAGAAAATAAAAGGATCTATAATTTGCTTCCTATCACAGAGGCAGAGGCCACGTTTTGAGTTCAGTAAGTGGGTATTTAGATTCAGAAAATCAAAATTAAGTTCTTGACTTTAATTTCATTAAATGTGTTTATTTGCTACTAGTTTGTTATTTACAGTATGTTTTTGTCACTCCAAATTCATATGTTGAATTGCTGCCCCCATGGGATGATATTTGTAGGTGGGGCCTTTGGGAGTTAATTAGATCCAGTGTGTGACCCTTTGGATTAGGGTTAGTGCTCTTATAAAAGATTCCAGAGATCTCTCTAGCCCTTTCCATTTTAATCACATTTTCACTTCTCCCTTCACCCATCCCAGATCAATCATAAGTATGCATTTTGCTGATCCTTTTTCAAATTCTTTTTTTTTTTTTTGAGTTGGAGTCTCACTCCGTCACCCAGACTGGAGTGTAGTGGCCGCTCCCGGCCACCACAGCCTTGACCTGCTGGGCTCCGGCGATCCTTCCGCCTCAGCCTTCCGAGTAGCTGGAACTACAGGCACGCGCTACCACGCCCGGCTAATAATTTTTTGATTTATTATAGAGATGAGGTCTCACCAAGTTGCCTGGGTGGGTCTCGAACCTGCAGGCTCAGGCAATCCACTCACCTCAGCCTCCCAAAGGCGCGGGATTGCAGGCTGAGCCACCGAGCCCGGCTTCAAATTCTTTTTAATGAAAGAATCATTTTAGTCAATTATGCTGAATATCAATGGCTTTGTTTATCTGGAATAAGTGCTGAAAGAAGGTAGTCATTTCCCAAGAGTCTGACTCAGTTTTTCTGGGCCTGTTTAAGTCTGGTTTGCATTGCTATAAAGGAATGCCTCAAGTTGGGTAATGTATAAAGACAAAAATGTTCTTTGTCTCACAGTTCTGAAAGCTGTTCAAGAAGCATGCCCAGGCATCTGCACATGATGAAGGCCTCAGGCTGCTTCCACTTATGGCGGGGGAAGGGAAGTGGGTGCGGACATCATGTGGTGCTAGAGGAAGCAAGAGAGAATGGGGAGAGGCCAGGCACTCTCAGAAACTAATAAATAATAAATAACAACCAGCACTCTCAGAAAACGAATAAAGTGAGAACTCACCCCTGCCCAGGGTATTAATCTAATCTTGAGGGGTCCACCTCCATAACCCAAACACCTCCCACCTCCAACATTGGGATCAAATTTTAACATGAGGTTTGAGGGGACAAATATTCAAACTGTAGCAGAGGATAAGGGGATTTTGTTGGGGGGGATCCTGGGGATACCTGTTTAGTCCATGATAAAGTGTGCCACATGAGCAGGAAATACAATAGGAGGCAAATTTAGACTACGTTTCCACCCAATCCTACACCAGAATATTTTTTTCTGCCAATTTAATCAATTCAGGATGCTATAACAAGGTACCATAGATTGGGTGGCTTATAAACAACAGAAATTTCTCACAGTTCTGGAAGCTGGAAGTCCAAGGTCAGAGTACCAGCAGGATGGGTAGAGTTCTGGTGAGGTCCGTCTTCCAGGTTGTAGACTATTAATTCCTCAGACTCACATGGTAGAAAGAGGGCTAGAGAGATCTCTGGAGTCTTTTATAAGCGTACTAGCCCTAATCCAAAGGGTCACACACTTGATCTAATTAACTCCCAAAGGCCCCACCTACAAATATCATCCCACTGGGGGGCAGCAATTCAACATATGAATTTGGAGTGACAAAAACATACTGTAAATAACAAACTAGGAGCAAATAAACACATTTAATGAAATCAAATATAGATTTAGTTTTGAAACATTAGTCACATTTTCACTTCTCCCTTCACCCATCCCAGATCAATCATATGTATGCATTTTGCTAATCTTTTTTCAAATTCTTTTTAAAGTAAAGAATCATTTTAGCCCATTATACTGGATATCAATGGCTTTGTTTATCTGGAATAAGTGCTGAAAGAAGGTAACTAGCCATTGGATTTCATCAACATCTAAGGTGGCAGGGAAGCTCCCCACCCCCCAAAGGACCATAAAGAATGAATATACCTCTGGCAAACTCAAGTTTTCTTTACCTCACATGATTCAGGAGGCCCATGCAACTCCCTGTAGTAGAAGGAACAGAATTAAGGATCAAGACATCCTAGCACTCTTCTCAAGCACCAGATAATTACACAGTCCAGACTTACCAAACTGGCCTCAGTGCATACATGCTCCAATTTCTATCACAAAAGAGATAGAGATGTCTTTTTCCCCCCAAACTGACCACAAATAGGTATTGATTAGACTGATTGCCTTTTTAAAAGTCTGGCTTATTGAAGTATAATTTACATACCACAAAATTCACCTTTTTGGGTGTGTTAGTCTATGAATTCAGACAAAGCTATACAATTGTGTGACCACTGCTATAAGACAGAATATTTAAACAAGTCTTCACAAAGAGGATATCACAAAAACACGGGAAAGAGATTCTCTGCAATTTCTTTTTGGGGGGGGTTGGAGTCTCACTCTGTCACCCAGACTGGAGTGGAGTGGCACACTCCCGGCCACTGCAGCCTCGACCTGCTGGACTCCAGCGATCCTTCTGCCTCAGCCTTCCAAGTAGCCAGAACTACACGCGCGTGCTACCACGCCCAGCTAAATTTTTATTGTAGAGATGAGGGCTCACCAAGTTGCCCGGGCGGGTCTTGAACCCACGACTCAGGCAATCCACTCACCACGGCCTCCCAAAGTGCTGGGATTACAGGCTGAGCCACCGAGCCCGGTCTCTGCAA